CTGTTAGTAAGTCCTTGCGTGCTCCTGCTCTTTGTATATGAAAGAAAAAGAAAGAAAGAAAGAAAAAGAAAAGAAACACATTCTGTTTTCAGAAAGGCTGAATAACTAATTTCCTTCTTTCCCCTTTTGTTCCAGGGATCCATGTTGCAAGTTAGTTCTCACTTCTTGGAACAGACTCTAGATAAGAAGCTGATGTCAGACCTGAGGGTACAGAGACCTGTGTTTCATTTTCATTTCATTTTATTCACTTGCTGTATGTGGGTTTTTTTACATTTTGTCCATGCACATCTTAAACCCTGATGTGGCGAAAGTTGCACAACAGGCTTGTTTTTTCCTGGTCTACTTTGTTGAACATCCTTTTTGTGCTTATAGCATGTTGGGACCTACTAGTTTTACAGGAGTTTAAATCCAGTAAAATATGAACCACAGCTACTCTCTGATCTTGTGAAGAATCACTTTGGGGTGTTCCAGTTTGATTAGAGAAGGATGTGGATGATAGTGTCTGACCTTAAAGATTGTCCTTTACCTTTTCAGCCCATAATACATGTCCTAGAAAATACCGTAGGATTCCCCCATCCACCGGATCAGCATCCTCAGAGTCACTTGTCTGCTGCCTGAAAATATTAAATTAAAACAAAAACCCACAGAAATATGGTGTATTTACCAGACCTAGCCACTAGAGGGAGCTAGAGACAATGCTGTGTGTAATGTTCACTATATCCACGTTTTTCACCAATAGCAGGGGAGGGCTTGGAACTGGTCCCCCGCAGATACCGTGGTCCGAGTCTAGTTTGCATTTGAAACAAGCTTTGGCAGCTTATTTCAAATGAGTGGTGTGGAAAGGAAGCTAGAAAACCTTTTTGGACGCCTCTGTTGCTCTGGTTTCTGCTAGGGACTTGGGCAATGCTGTCGGCATGCTTCTGTTACACTCAAAGGCACCCCATGGGGGCCCCATCCACCAGGAGTGCCTCCTGTGCCCTTGGGAATGGTAGGCTAGTTGGAGAGGGATTTCTTGGCTGTGGAATGAATGTCCTTCTCTTGAAACGCGTCTGTCTGTTTACCACGTACTTTGGAATAGAATTATCTTGGATTGAGTGGGTTGTGGAGTGCGTTATAACATGACCGGTTTTAATGGTTTTCAGTGAGTTTCAATTGTTTAACTTTTTTCATGTGTTTTTAAAAAAATGCTCAAATTGTAAGTAACCGTGGTCTAAACCAGAGGTCCTCAACCCCCAATCTGGGGCCCGGTAATGGTCCATGGGTCCACACAGGAATCCCAAGCCGGAATTAAGATTG